TGCGTTCAGGGCAAGTAATGCACCTTATTAATTTTTCTTGAAACGAAATTTGTGTCGGAGAAATTCGCATCTGTGGATTTACGATACCACTTTTTGTTAATAATTGCCTGGGTGCAACATCGTCAAAACGTGAACCGTGGTATTTCCACTTCGCCAGCGGAATCTCTTTGATGTTTGTAAATACTCTGGTCATTTTTCCTGACTCTTCTGATGAGAACGATGTCGACAGTGCGCGTAAGTCAGGCAGTTGTTCTGTTTGCTTCATCTGAATCTCGTGTCACATTTATAGACGATGTATGAAAATGTGGTGTCAGTTTTGGTGCGATTTCACAAGGTGCATATGGAAAGGAGTAATGTGAAAGAGGAGGATGTGCTGCGATTGGTTAGCATCTCAGGTTATTCATTTTTTTCATGAATTTGACAACTTGCATTATAAGTCATTGTTGAGTGACGGAAATTGCTGGCATCCTTGATATTTGTGTCGCTGCTATTGTGAGACTGTGCTTTAGTGTGGCTTTTTGAAATGAACGAATCCTCGCCGGTGCTTCGCACTGTCCGCAACCCATCTCTTAGCAACCCTTCGCCCCTCCAGAAGAGAGTGTCTGCCTGCGTGTCTGTTGTGCCTTCAACCAATAAGAAGATGTATTTTGGGAAGAGTTTTCATTAATTGAATTCACCAGTGAGTTGAATTCCCTCTTGTCCTCCAGCTGGCTATTTTACATCAGAGTCTTTTTTGAGGTAATAATTATAAGTCCTGTTTCAGGGCAGCTGATGGCATGGATTGATAATGATAAGCAGCGATTGAAGGATTTGCTGGAGTATTTTAGAATGGGTGGGAGGGATCCTGTCATCAACAAACTGTCACACAAGCTATCGTCTGAAATTGCGGCTTTTCGAGAGAAATTGTCCGGTTGGTTCTAGTCTTTACTAACCGGAAATTACCTACTTTGTTGTGCACGATGTATTGACCCTGGCATAAGTTAAAACACGTTTCCATTTTTTCGCCAACTATTTACGTAGATTCCCGATTCCCGAAATAGTTCAGAAATTAAGCGACTGTTTCAGTGTTTTAAGTTCTGCAACGCTTTGTCATTAAATGGCATAAAACAGGATGTTGTTGCAATTACACGAGTAAAATCCGATGATAAAATACTGCTTATCTTGCTGGCAGTCCGTGCACTTCGTGTACCGGTGAATGTTATTCGTGAGAAAATAAACAACCTGTCGAGTAGCCCCTAAAAAGTGACACACACCATGCAGGCGGTGGTTACTAATTGGAGGTATGCAGCTCAGAATCGAAGGGCCTGGCGGGGCTGCGTCCGGTTTGTGGAAGTATTTTTAGAAATATCATTAGTATGGGGTCTCCGCATCGAATGTCCGAGCAGTCTTCGTATTCTTGTCAAGTCTTATTGTGCTCTGACATTACTTGTTTCGCTTTGTTTGCGTGGAATTCTTTGCCTAAATGCAATGCGTTATGACTGTTTACTGAGCTCGTCTGCTGTCTTGCTGTTGTAGCTGCATTTCGGGAAGTTTTCAGTTCTCCGTGTTTCATCTAAAATTGTTAGTGGCTGCTCACCATCCGGCCGTCGGAGTGAGAGGAAGGTACTATGGATTTTTTTTTTTTTTTTTTCATGTTCTTTCCATGCTGTGCTTCAAATACATGTCTGTGTCATGTTCCGGCACTGCTGGGGTCGTTCATTACTTGAATGCACGGTTTGCCTGCACTTTTTGAGTATATTTTGTAGTGAAAGAAGGTGGCGGTGATGTGAGCTTGGCAAAGGGACGCTCGGAGGCTCGCAGAATCAACAGACGTTTCGTTGCTCGGTGTGTTGAAGTGCTTTCGCGCGCACTGGTCACCGATATGGAGAATGGCCTGCAGTGCATCGTATGCCTCATTATACGTTTTTGCATATGTGCCAAGAGGCTGTGTGGGTGTGTGTGTGTGTGTGTGTGTCTGTTTTCGCTCTTTTAGTCACCCGCTTTCAAGTCCAGGACCAGAAAAGCTAAATTGCTGAAACTTCGGGAGTATATGACCGCCATCTGTGCGATCTTCCCGTTTTAATATCGTCACCCGCGTACGCTTGAAGGCCACGTTTGGATGGATGCCTTTAGAAATTATGCAGATTTTTGCCATGAAGGCGATCTTGGGAACCAGGAAGGATAGAGAGCTGAGACTTTGCAGAGATATTCTCTATGTATGTTTGAGTTAAAGATTTTAAATTCAGCCCCTAGTTGTGCGTTTCATGTATGGGAACGTGAAAGTTTTGTTGGGGAAATTGCTAACTCGGTAGCCAGAAAAGTTGGAAGGCTGAGATTTTAAGGATGTACTCCCCGTCCACGCAAGGTTTCAAATTCAGCCCTCTGGTACGCGTGGTACTCACGTACGGGTGTGTAAAAATTCTGGCGGAAAAATCACTAACTCGAGGAACAGAAAAACTGGGAAGCTGAAATTTTAGAGTAATGTTTCCTGTCTAAGTAAAACTCAAATATTTCAAACTCAGCCTCCAGATGTGTGCGGTTCTCACATACAGGCACTTGAAATTTTGGCAGGAAAATTGCTCGCTGAGTAGCTAAGTCATTTTCAAAGAACGACCGTTAAACGGTATTTGTTTATTTACTTTATCCATAATTTACGATGCTTACGCTAGTGAGCAAAAAAGGTAAGTGTAAAGCAGCAACCATTCGTGCATTTAGCTACCTGGCTTCAATTCTGACGGAGAAGCGCATGACCGCACCGGCAAGCCTAGTGCATTCCAGCCTGGGTTTTTGTTTTGAATTCTGGTTTTCTCCCAATCGTCTTTTTCTCATACTATTACTACTACTACTACTTTTAGCCTCTCTGTCCTTTTCGAGGCATTATTCATAACTTTTGATTGTACCCGGGGATTCTCAGCAAATCGAGTAATACGTTTCGTATGCGCATCGCATTTCAGTCCCACCGAAGATGGTTCGGGTGGGAAGGAGGGAGTTTTTTGAGAGCTATTTGCGCAAACTTGCGTTGGTCTGTTCTGTAGTAACTTCTTGGCAGGTGCATATTACGTGAAAGCGCTGGCTGTGCGGTACCTAACCACTCTACTTCTGCTGTTTGGCGCTTGCAGTTTTTTGTTTTTGCAAGTAGTTCAAGCTATAGTTTTTATGCATGAAATAGGAGAAATGTTTTTCATTTTTCCTGTTTTCATACGTTTTCGCTTAGAAAAGCTCTTGGTGGCACTTATTTTTTCACGAAGTTTTAAATTTTAATGCTTTAAATTACCCGACATTAATTATCAAGTACCGCAAAAACGTGGTATATGATTTCTAGTACAGGGCCATGAGGTCAGCCAGTAGTGGAGAGTTTTCGTTCAGGTACGGAGATTTATGGACAAATGCACATTTAAGGATATAATTGGGAAGAAAAACATCCAGTAAGCTGTGGTGGCTCAAAGTTTTCTTCTTTCAGATGTCGAACAAGGATGGAAAGAACGGAAATACGCAGTTAGGCATAGAGGTGCCATCGTTTGGAACATCGCCGAATGAGTTTGTGACAGCTGCCGGTGTAGCGCTGCTTTCGCTAGCGCATCAACTCTCTGCCTATGCGCAGGACACTCACATGGCAACTGCTATTGCCTCTGCTGCAAAATTAGAAACAGTTGGTTGGTATATTCGAAGAGCTGTTAATGAAAAGATTAGTTGTGATAAGCGCGAAATAATCTTTTAGCTTGTTGGACAGGGTTATGTTGTTCGTGCGGTAAGATTCTTTAGGAAATGTTCAGGGAATAGTAACTACAGTGATGCGAACTTTTGGCAGAGAGGCCAAAAATTCAGAATTTTTTCTTTCGTCTTTCAACTAGGAGCGTCAATTTATACAGACGCAAATTGGCGAAGCGTTATTTTTCTAAACCGGTGCGTGAGCGCTAGTGTCAGGAGTGCTTATAAAGTCTGAGAAATTCATTCGCTGTTCCTCTCTCGGGAAGAAGAGAAAGCAGTTTGCTATTTTTATCTTTTTCATTAGCTGATGGGTGATAGCGACACTTGCGATCCAAGAAGATGGATCCAGAAGCGGAGGGGATCTAGAAGCGGATCCAGGACCTAGTAGTATCCACTCAGCTCGCCTTGATGATACTGACTTTGCTGCAATAGTGCAACTGGATGAAGCAATGATGCTGGTAGTTGAACCTGTTATGGTGCTAGTTGCAGTCAGTTTATGAGCTAAACCTCTCGCCCACAGTTCAGGAAATTGTACAAGCACTGCATCGCTGGGGCGCTTTAGATTTATCTATACTCGACTCCTGCAACTTTTTTAAATGCTGAGAAGCATTCTTTCAGAGGACATTCCATCTTGGTGGATTGGGAAATGTGCGGTAGCTCTGCAGGAGTGTTTTGTTGATAAAGTGGGCGATATAAGCAAGCTTCCGGCTCCACTGTGTCGTCAACTCTCCGTTGACTATGGTTCGTGATTAATACAATTTTGCACATTTGTTGTTTCTGCATTACTGGAATCGCTGGGGAAAACGGTGTGGGATGCGTGTCTCCTTTTTTGAGCGCTGCTATGCCAGGCCCTTCTTTCCTCAGCTCCGTGCTTTTAGTGAGCATACGCCACCTGCCCACGTACTCTGCTTCCTTCCCGTGAGTGTTGCTTATTTATGCAGCACAGCACTGGTTACCAGCAAAGCGAGCATCTTCGCTATGATAGCTATACCCGGACAGACTCAGTGCAACGGCTGAGTCCGAGTGAATCAAAGGCTCATCGTAGGACAGTGCAGCCCCTCTTTTCTGTCGCCGTACTCCTTTGATACGCACCGCAATTCGCTGATGGTGATAGCTGAGAACAGGTATCCAAGGGCGAAGGTCTAGCCCGGCGGCGCAGGCTGTGCGGCTGGGCGTTCCCGATGATACAATGTGGAGGAGGACGCTAGCAAGCTAGTGCGCGCAACTACTGGCTTAAAGCTTTTTTGCAATCTGCGATCTAAAAATGTGTATTTAAATAAGCTTCGAAATTGGTGACAGACTGATTGTATTTTTAGCTTATCTGGCTGATGTATTCGAGGATTTGGGAACAACGAAGATATCTGATTTTGTAATTATGAGGCAATCATTCGTAGATTCCGGATATTTTGAATCATCTCAGTAGTAGTCGTCGTACTTCCAAAGGAGCATTCTCCAGGTTCTGGTTTGTTTTTTTTGAAAGAACTGTAACGTGACCTTCAGCTACATACCCAACATCATCAGGGCTTCGCTGTTTGTTCATGATCTTCACTGCGAAATCATACAAGCGCATTTGTTGGGTATGCACAGTTAACGTCGCTAAAATGAAGCTGTGTTGCGAGCAGCGATAAGAATCACTCGAAAAGTGCTAGTAATAACACTGGTATGATTAGCCCCTGACCAGTTGTGCTCCTTCATTCGATGGTTTCATTGAACTTTGCTTATCTGTCCATGAAATTCCATACGTCTTCTTCATGACTGCAATATGTTTAATTGTTCTTGTGATCACTGCTGTGTCCTGTATCCAGGTCATTTGATGTATCGTTTGTTTAGGCCAAGCATCTTCCTCTGCGTTGCTTCGTTCCGGCGTTCCCGTTCCCATCAGTTATTGCTTGCCGTATCTGGAATTCCTACGTGGTGATCATGGTGATATGTTTATATGCATGTTAACTATTTTGTATTGATGCGCTTCCCCATTAGCGGAAACAGGGCTGTTAACAACCGTCATTCTAAAGACACCCGTACTTAGCTCACTATTTTAAGATTTTCCATGCAGTGAGATTGCACGGGAATTCTTTTGAGGATGGGACAGATCTGTCTCTGTACACTTCCCAGCCTGTCCTCGCTCTCCGGTGTTACTGAAAGTTGTGTTTGTTCTTGCACGTTCAGTTTTTCTCACGTTAAAAAAAGCGTATTTATTGACCGTTGGCGGTTTTGTTTTCCAATAAATCGCATTCTCAATATTCGGATGGCGAGCCAGCAGACTGGTGTTTTATTCCGCCGCTAATGTACTTTTTCGGAAAAATTTATAGTAATAGATGGCGTCGTTTCTGAGGGAAACTGAGTGGGGACGCAGCGCGCCCTTTCCTCTGCGCATGTAAAATACGGAGCAGTCTGGTTATGACTAAGACTGCCTTATGTTTCTTCATCCCACGTGGAGTGACTGAAGAGGCCATGCTCATGTCTCCCATTCAACGGATACCACCTACCTCGAGCATCGGTTAAACTGCATTCCAGGAGGTGCCCGGCCTGGCGATGCCGCTGTCAGTAATCCGAGCAAAACAGTGAGTTGCGGAGGGGCCCATCGCATCCCTCCTCGGGCGTTGCCACAATGGTACCATAGCACTGGCGTACTGCGTCACACTTTTGAGATGCACTGTCTTCCTGTCAAACATAAAACCAGGGTAAAAATTTTTATGGGATGAGTGTTTACGTGTGGGTCGCTGTGTGGCGTGGTGCTCTGAGCGTACGCGCATTGTAGAGAAGCAAAATCAAGTTTATGACTTACTGATGATGAATCGTGCAAACAGCAGATAAATAGCACGAAGTGTGGTGCTTGGAATCTATCCAGTCTGTGGGCTTGCCGAGCAAGAGTTGTTGTAGTAGAGAATGATGGATGAGGCCCAGAAATGTACCAGACGAAGTCGAGTCCTAAAAACTTGAAAAGCCGGGGGTGATGTCGGTCGAGGACACTGAAGTGGACGAAAAAGCTGAAGGAGCAAAACTGAGACCACGAAGAATGGTAGGGAGGTTTATAAAGGGAGTAAGAACCGTGCCAACCGTAGATGTGATAGTTTTTTGAAGGGGTTGAAAATGTAAAAATGGTAATTAGGGTAAAGGGAAATGTGAAAAGGGAAAATGGAAATAAGGGTTTTTAAGGGGGTTCAAAAAAAGATTGAAAGGAAAAATAACAAAAGTGGAACGTCTGTGAATGCAGGTGCATTCCAAATATAGGACCAGCAACGGGGATAAGGGAAATGAATATTTGATATGGTTTTTACGTACAACTGCCACATATTTTACACCGGCGAATCATTCTCGTGCGCTTTTTATGCGTTTTTGCTGTGCAGCGCTATAGCGCTGCTACAGCCAGCAAAAACTCACACTGTCGAGAGGCTGTGTGTGTGTGTCTGTGTGTATGTGTGCGTGTGTGTATGCGCGCATTTTGTCACCCACTTTCATCTCAGCAACCAGGAAAGCTGGGAGGCTGAAACTTTGGATATATTTTCCTACTCCGTGTGTTATCCTCCCTTTTTAAGATCTTTCCCCATACGCGCCTAAACCCTGCGTACGGGACCCCCAAAGAAGTATATTGGCGGGAAACGATTTCGCGACCCAGGCAACGTAGAAAGCTGAAACTTTGCAGGGATATTCTCTACGCACATGCAAGAAAAAAGCTTTAAATTCAGCTCTCTAGCTCCCCAACCATAGCCTCAAGCAGCTCCTGATCCTAAAAATTGTTAGCAACTCGGGCCTGAACCGCAATTGTATATGCAAATGAACACGGATTCATTGAAAAACGACCGTTCGAGCAATACTTTCAATTTTTCAATGAACTGAAAATTTGCATATTTCAAAAAGTTCGTTCGCAGCTTGGACCTTAACCGCAATCGCATATGTAAATGAACGTGCATTTCTTGACAAACGACCGCTCGAGCAATACTTTCATTTTTTAGTGAACTGAAAATTTGCATTTTTTCAAAAAATTTGCATTTGTCATTTCACAAAGCGAGCATTTACCGAAAAAACGACCGAATTTCATGCAAAAACAGGTAATCATGCACCTGGATGTTCGAGCGGCTCTACAATGCACCATCTTCATCTCAGTTGATGCCCTTCCTCCTACATGCCAGAAAGGATCAAAGCATATTAGCCCAAGTGTTAGGCTAAAGAGGAGGGATCATTCCTGCTAATAGCGATCTACGAGTTTAGTGCAAAAACGCATGATCGCACCGGAGAGCCTGGTGCATTCCAGCCTGGGTTTGCATTTGTACGAATGTAAAAACGCTTATTGTGACCACCCCGTGATACGCATATTCCCGTGTATGTGTATGCGTGCTTGAATGTGTATGTGTGTGTGTACGTGTGCGTCTGTTCGGATATTCTAACTCGGTTTTCATTTTAAGCCGCCAGCCGCAGTAGCATTTTGTTATGCGCTTTGTGCTGCGTAACAGCAGTACAAGACGCATATTGTCACGGGGTTGTTTAGGTGTGTATTTGCGTGTATGTCCAGAGCAACTTGTCCGCAACTTTCAACTCCGGAACCATAAAAGCTAGGAAACTGGAAAGTTATGGGAATGTTCCCCACACAAATGTGACTCTGCGAATTTAAATTCAGCCTCCCCGTACCCGCGGGTAATATGTACGGCCTCGTAAAAGTTTTGTCGGATGAAATTATCACGGGAACCACGGCGGCTAGAAGGCTGAAATTTCGTGGGCATGCCCCCCGTCCACGTGGGATCCAGGAAGTTTAAATCCAACCTCCTCCTACCCGTGGGGGACGCGAACCCCGTGGAAATTTTGGCGGGTAAATTATTGTCTTGGGAACCATGGGATCTACGAAGCTGAAATTTTAGGGCAGTGACCCCCTGCCCATTTACGACCTTGTGAATTCAAATTCAAATTCAGACCTTGTGAATTCGACCTTGTGAACCCTGCGCTGTCGGGTATCATCTATAGCCCCGTAAAAATTTTGGCGGGGAAATTACTGCCTTGGGAACCATAAAAGCCAAAAGGCTGAAGTTTTGCGGTAGTGCGCCCTGCTCACACACGACCTCGCAAATTTAAATTCAGCCTTCCCGCGTGTCCAGGTATCACTTACGGCCCCGCTAAAGTTTCGGCAGAGAAAATTATTATCTCGGAGATCAAGAAAATTTAAAAATTTGAAATTTTAAGGCGATGTCCTCTATTAAAGTACGACCCCCGTAAATTTGAAGTCAATCCTCACGCAACCTTTGCGTACGGCCCTATGGAAGTTTTGGCAGGAAAAATGTCTCATGAACTGCAAAAGCTAGGAAGCTGAAATTTTAGCGTGGCATCCCCCGCCCACGTACAGTTTCATAAATTTTTAACATCCCCGTGGAAGTTTTGGCGAAAAAAAAAAAACATTATCTTGGAAGCCAAAAGAGTTAGGGAGCTGAGAATTTCAGGAGAATGCTTCCTGCCTAAGCAAGGGCTTCAGAACCGAATTTAGTTCCTAAGTATGCCGAGGTCTCACACACGACCACGTGGAAGTTTTGTCTCAAAGGTCACTCGAAAGCCAGAAAATTAGGAGGTTGAAGTTTTGGAAGAATGTCACCCTTCGAGGTTTCAAAATTAGCTTTCAAGTGCTGGTTTGAGAAATTTTTAACTATTTTTCAGCGTTTGAACTATTTTTGCACAGACTAAGATACAAGGCAATGAAAGTCACTAACGGGCAATCGTTCGGTGGACGGAATTGCACAAAACGCATGATCGACTTGCATCGCTATTTATCTTTCTGTTGATGCAGTGTGCCCATTTGCTAAGCCAGGCCAATATGTTGGCGCGGATGACGTGACTTAAATTGACTTGTCTATGGCAGGTAATTGTCTTCTGAGGGCGCTGGTCAGGAAGATGCACGCAGGCAAGCTCGAAATCGACCAATCGAAAATGTATTGCGGACACTTCGCGTACTCCCAAGTTTTCTGCTGCTTCACCGGCAGCGTTTTACTAAGTTTAATTATTCGGACAGGTGTACACCGGCAGCACAGTTTCGCGGGGTGTAATGCTTCGGTGAAGTAAGCAAAAGGAGAGTAGAATGGTCAGGCCATGGCAAGTTCTGGCATCACAGAGTATCCCATTGGTCGGTGGGGCATCCCTCACTGCTCCGCGGCCGTTTATACTGCATGTGCCTCATACCTCGTCCCTTCACTTCTCTCTTCAGTTTTTATGCGTTTTTTGCAGCCATGCAATGCGAAAAACGCATATTGACGAGAGGTTGTCTGTGCGTGTGTGTGTGTCTGTGTGTTTGTGTGTGTGTGCCTGTGTGTGCGCTGCGCGTCTGTAGCGATTTTTCATCTCGAGACCCACAAAAGCTACAGGGCTAAAACTTTGGGGACTTAGTCTACATGCACGTACGGGCCCCCACCCCCAAAATGGGCGGTCTTTCCCGCGTAGTACCCACGTAAGAGCCTGCCAAAGTTTTTTAGAGGCAAGCGGCTAACTCGCGAACCAGAAAAGCTAGAGAGCTGAAATTTTGTGGGAATGTTCCCCGTCCAAGTAGGATAGTGAGCCCAAACCCAACCCCCGGGTAAGCGTGATACCTGCGTACGGGCCCGCCATAATTTTTCCCGCGTAAATTCATAACTCGGGGATCTGAGGTGCTAGAAAGCTGAAATTTTAAGGGGATGTTCCCCGTCCAAATAGGTACTAATGAGCTCAAACTCAGCCCCGGGTAGGCGTGGTACCCGCGTACGGGCCCGCCAAAATTCTTCCTGCGTAAATTCATAACTCGGGGATCTGGGATGCTAGAAAGCTGAAATTTTAAGGAAATGTTCCCCGTCCAAGTAGGTACTAATGACCTCAAACCCAACCTCCGGGTAAGTGTGGTAGCCGCGTACGGGCCCGCCAAAATTCTTCTCGGGCAAGTTCATAACTCGGGGATCTGAGATGCTAGAAGACTGTAACATTAAAAGGGTGTTT